ATATGTAGTATCTATGGATAAATTTGACAAAAAAATGTGAAAGACGTATACACTGAAAACTACAAAACAACACTAAGGGAAATTAAAGAACACTTAACGAAATACGTATATCATGTTCATGAATCAGAAGACTTAATATTATTAAGCTATCTATTCTTTCCAAAGTAATCTATACATCAAAGCAATATTTATCATGATCCTAGCATGCTTTTTTTGTAGAAATTGACTAGCTGATTCTAAAATATATGTGAAGGGCAGCCCGGGTGGCTCAGCGGTTTGGCGCCACCTTCAGCCCAGGGCCTGATCCTGGAGACCCAGAATCGAGTCCCATGTGGGACCCCTGCATGGAGCCTGCTTCTCCCTCTGCCTGTGTCTCTGCCTCTCTCTCTCTCTTTGTGTGTGTGTGTCTCTCATGAATAAATAAATAAAATCTTTAAAAAATAAAATAAAATATATGTGAAAATTCAAAGGATTAAAACAGTCAAATGAATTTTGAAAACAATGCACAAAATTAGAAGACTTAAACCACCTGATTTTTAATACTAATTATAAAGCAACAGTAATCAAGACTGTGGTATTGGTGCAAAGATGGATATACATACAGGTCAATGGGACAGAATAAAGTCCAGAAATAGACCCACACATTTATGGTGAAATGATTTTGAATAAAGATGCCGAGGCAATTAATGGAAAGGATAATGTCTTCCACAAATGAGGAATCAATCTGAAAAAAAAAAAACCCAAAAAACAAAAACAAAACCCTTCATATTCAGCTCATACCACATGCAAAAATAATTAACTTGAAATGGGTTTTAAGCCTAAATATAAGAATAAAAATTATAAAAATTCTAGAATAAAATATAGTAGAGATCATAGTGACCCTAGGTTTGGCAAAGATACCTTAAATAGGACACAAAAAGCACAAACTATAAAAAATTAAAAATGAATAACATGAACTTCCTCAAAATTATTATTTTTAACTTCCTCAAAATTAAAGCTCTTGTTCTTCAAAAGATACCAGTATTAAAATGAAAAGGCAAGCCATAAGCTGAAAAAGAAACACGTGCAAAAATTATATACAGCAAAAGATTTGTATTTAGCATAAATATATAAAGAACTCAAGCTTAATAACCAGACAACGCAAAAATATGGGCAAAAGATTTGAACAGATACTTCACTAAAGATGATATAGAGATGGCAAATAAGTATACAAAAATATATTCAACAGTGTTAGTAATTACAGGAATGCAAAATAAAACCACAATGAGATAAACTCTATACCTTAACAGAATGGCTAAAATGGCCATGGTGGTGAGTATGTGGAGCAGTTGGAATTCACATAAACTGCTGGTGAGAATGTTTAAAAAACTAAGCATATGTCTGCCATATGACCCAGCCATTCTACAGCTAGATGGTGACTCAAGAGAAAAAAAGCATATGTCTACATAAAGACCTGTACATGAATGTTCTTGGCTACTTTGTTTATGATAGCCCAAAACTGGAAACAACTCAAATCCCAACACCAGGCAAATGGATAAATAAATTGTGGTATATCCATATAGTGAAATATTATAAAAGGAACAAGCTACTGACATACACATGAACATGAACGAATTTCAAAATAATTATGATGAGGGAAAGAATCCAGACCCAAAAGAATATATCTGATATGACCCCATTTTAATGAAATTCTGGAAGACACAAACTGAAAATTTCGAAAGATTAATGATTATATGGGGCCAGAAAATTTGGAGAATGACTTAGAGACACAAGAGGGGGATCCCTGGGTGGCTCAGTGGTTTAGCGCCTGCCCTCAGCCCAGGGCATGATCCTGGAGTCCCGGGATCCAGTTCCGCATCGGGCTCCCTGCATGGAACCTGCTTTTCCCTCTGCCTACGTCTCTGCCTCTCTCTCTCTCTCTCTCTCTCCACCTCTCATGAATAAATAAATAAAATCTTAAAAAAAAAAAAGACACCCACGAAAACTTTTGAGAGCAATGCATAAGTTCATTATCTTGATTGTGGTGATGGTTTCATGGAAGCACATGTATGTGACAATTCATTAAGTTGTTCATCCTTGAGCACTGGGTGTTATTCTGTATGTTGGCAAATTGAACACCAATAAAAAATAAATTTATTATTAAAAAACAGTTGTTCATCCTTAATATGTGCTTTAGGTTGTATCTCAATAAAATTCAAATACTGGGGAGACGGTATTACTCAAAAACGTGAATATCATAAAACACAAAGAGGCTGTAAAAATGCTCTGGACTATCACTATTGAATAGAACACTCTTAATGAAGCAAGCACATGTTCTGTATCTGTACCGTGTAGCACAGTAGTCAGAAGCTACTATTGCTATTGAATACTTGAGATGTGGCTAGTGCAACCGAGGAACTAGATTTTTAATTTAATTTTTAAAGATTTATTTATTTATTTGAGAGAGAGCACGCACATGCTTGTGGTGTGGGGGAAGCATAGGGACAAGCAGACATGGAGCCTTTACAGGGACTCAATCTCATGACCCCAAAATCATGAGTCAGACACGCAACTGACTAAGCCACCTAATAAATTAGGTCCCTCTAATTTTATTTTAACCCATTTTGACTTAAATGGCCACATTAGACAACATGGTTCTAGATTTAAAAAGACTAAGCATAAATGAAAACAATATAATCTCTGATCCTATACTGGATCCTATAGTGGAGGAGTAAAAACACTATAAAGAACATTATTAGATCAACTGATAAGACTAGAATATGGATGGCAGATTAAAGTATATCAGTGTAAATTTATGAATTTTATAACTACACTGTGGTTTTATAAGAGAATATATGAGAATATACCTCCTCTTAAAAGCACACACTAAGGAAAAAGGACCATGATGTATGTAACTTACCTCAAATAGTTCAGAGAGATGAGCAAATGATAAAGCAAATGGAGTAAAATGGTAACAATAGGTGCATCTGGAGCACCTGGGTGGCTCAGTGATTGAGCATCTGCCTTCAGCTCAGGTGGTGATCCCAGGGTCCTGGGATCGAGTCCCACATCAGGCTCCCTGCAAGGAGCCTGCTTCTCCCTCTGCCTATGTCTCTGCCTCTCTCTCTGTGTCTCTTGTGAATAAATAAATAAAATCTTAAAAAAAAACAACAACAAACAAAAAAAAAATAGGTGAATCTGGGTAGAGAGTATACAGGTGTTTCTTAAACCTATATATTTGTATTTGTATTATTTTTTTAAAGATTGTATTTATTTATTCATGAGAGACACAGAGAGAGAGAGAGGCAGAGACACAGACAGAGGGAGAAGCAGGATCCATGCAGTGAGCCTGATGTGGGACTCGATCCTGGAACTGCAGGATCACGCCCTGGGCTGAAGGCAGGCACCAAACCACTGAGCCACCCAGGGATCCCCCGTACTTTTATTTTTGCAATTTTTTGTAAATCTGAAATTGCTTCCAAATAAAAAGCTTTAAAAATACCTTGTATGTGATTATGGTATTGCAGTTATATTTTTTAAAGACTTCCAGTCTTTTGGAGTGCCTGGCTGGCTTAGTTGGTGGAGCATATGACTCTTGATCTCAGGATCTGAGTTTGAGCCCCACACTGACTATAGAGATTACTTCAAAATAAAATGTTAAAAAAAAAAGAGTTCCAGTCTTTTTTTTTTTTTAAGATTTTATTTATTCATTCATGAAAGACATGTGGAGAGAGGCAGAGACACAGGCAGAGAGAGAAGCAGGCTCCCTGCAGGGAGCCTGATGAGGGACCCAATCCCAGATCCCAGGATCACACCCTGAGCCAAAGGCAGATGCTCAACTGCTGAGCCCCCAGACATCCTGTCCTGGAGTTCCAATCTTTTAAGGATACATTATGAAATATCTATGGACAAAATGATATAACATCTGGGGTTTGTTTCAGTGTAACATGGAATCTTATTATGGAAGAAGAAACAGATTGATTCTCTTAAATCTGAATGATACATATATGAGTTTTTATACTCTTCTGTCAATTTTTGTGTGCATTTAACATTTCTATGACTTTAAATTGGGAAGAATTGACATCTACTCAATATTTTTCTTTCTAAGGATATTGTGTGCCTTTCTCTTATTCATTTTGTTTCCTATGGTACAGACTGGGAAAGCTCATTTATACCAAATTCTTCATTAATGAAAATGATATCTGTAGGTCACATGTTCCTCAATAGAATAAAAATCCTCATCACAACAAAAATTTTTCTTTTATGACCCCATCAGTGGCTATCTATTTCAAACAATTTTAAACAGTGTATCAATTCCCATGATTGCAAAAAATTTTGATCAGACCAGACCCTTCAATAGAAGTCACTTCCCATATCTAAAAATGCTTATACTAAAACCCCATTATAAAAAATTCACTCTAACCTTTTTTTCCATGATATTTTGGTTTAAATTAATGTGTTCCTAGACATCACATTCTCTGACTGTGAAGCCCCAAGAAAATCTAAGTGAAGATGAGTCCAGTGAAGTAATGAGAGCAGTACATGCACTCAGAATATCTACTCCATTCACTCCTTTTTCCCAGGATCTGACTTTGGTCCTATTGTTTGGCTCAGTGTCTGAGGGATTTAAGTGGTTTGAAGTTAGACTTTGGGAAAATTTTATTGATTTAATTGCATAAATTCCATAAAACATTGAAGTAAGCTCTCCCCAGCCTGTGATACAACAAACAAATGCTCAATCACACTCTTATTTTAGTGGCTCTTACATGAACCTGGCCACGAAAATCATCTTCACAACTTCATTTGCTGCATAAACATTTTGTAATATGTTGAGAAAAGTTCTCACCGGGGGACCATATCCCTAAACATGGAAATCACAGCATTGAGAGATCCTTTCGTAGCGGGAGTGTTTGAAATTACAGGAATGGTTTAAGAAAAATTAAGACTGAAAGTCCCTTGGTTTTCCTATGTTAGACTTGTTGTTTTGTTTATCATTATTATGATTTTTACTTTCTTTCCAGAGATAGACTACTGTGCCTCGCCTAATCAAGGATGTCAGCACGAGTGTGTTAACACAGATGACTCCTATTCCTGTCGCTGCCTAAAAGGTTTTACCCTGAATCCAGATAAGAAAACCTGCAGAAGTAAGTCGCACTGGGTGTAGGACAGGGGGCTTGTTCCCATAATGCCCTGCTAATTTTCCTTGTCCTTGCAAATCTTAGGCAGGTATACTTGTACTCAGCATTTGTTTACTAACACTATTCTGCCCTTTATTTTATCTTTTGTCACTCCTGATTCTGTGATGAGGATGATTTTTAAAGATTGAATAGACTGGGTCCGCCCACAGGATTAACTGAGCAAAGTCAAAACCCAAGCTTAAGCTCCAAACTATGTGAAATGAGGGCACACCCTCCCTCCTCTTCAGCCCCGCAACATGTATTTGTTACTTTTGAGAAAGAACAGTCCAGACCCGGTGACAGGAGGTAAAAGGAGTTGGCTTCTTCCAATTATAGCAGATGAGATACTTGATGGGTGCCAGGCAGGGGAAATTGCTGCTCCATCCTGTTTGACATAAGGAAGAAAAAATTACAACTCTGGAGAATCCCTGCAGCATTCAAGAGGTACATGGTGTCAACAGGATGAAATGAATGATGTGACTCAAATGCCTGTTGGCCGGCACATCAAGGGAGATGTAGAGCATGGACCCCCACTGGGATCTCTTTAAACCAGACTGTCCCTGAGAAATCACTAAAGTGAAGGTCTGCAAGAACAGAGATTCTTTTCTTTTTCTCACTCTTGAATCCTCAGCACCCCATGGGCTTGGCAAATAGAGGTGCAACCCAAGACTTATTGAATGAATGATTGAGTGAATGAGCAAACAGATCTCTCTGAGATTTATCATCCTGGAGAAACTGCACCTATTATTTGAGTTACTCGATCTCGTTAGAAAGATGGCCCTTTTAAGGCATACAGATTATGAACTTTTAAAAAAAGTATTTCTGTAGTTAGTTGACACACACACAGAATTGTTTGTGTTCTCCTGGCAGTCTCATTTACAGAACTTTCTGGAGCCCCATTTAGGGGTGTATGTTCTCATGTACTTCTTCATGTGCCTCTTCCTGGTGATATGTACAGCAGTGCTCTGCATCACAGGCAGGACTGAATTTTCAAAAGTTTGTGTATTTCTTTTGAAAAAGCACTATGGGCTATATCACTGAATCCAGAAAAGTCCCATTCTGCTCCCAGCACATATGGACTCACCCACTCACTCTAATAAGTGTTAGACCTCGTACAGTGGTAGATGGTTGCAGAGGCCATGTTTTGAAACCGGGCCTCTCTTATAAACGATAATGCCTCTGGCCTCACCTAGATATGAACCCTGGAAACATTTGAGCATTAAATAGAAATTTTAACTGAGAGGATTCAGAATGTGAAAACAATTAGGTGGAATATTTTCCATTAGACCACACATGTATATACTATGGTAAAGGGCCAACTTTCCTGGCTTGACCACTCCTCTCTGCTATATGCACCTTTTTCTAGGCTTAAGTATGTTAGTGGCTGACTATACCCAAGGAAAATCAGTCACAGGTGGACTTACTTGTAGACCAAAAAGCTCTTAGTAGGGGATAATTAGATCTGGTTCAAATCAGACACACATTGTGGTTGCAAGCTCCATGTATGTTACTGATGGAGGGAAAAGGGAACAGGTTGGGCATATGGCCATCAGTGCAGGAGAATTTGCTTAAAGCTCTTCATCTCTTTTTCATTTATGTATGTACGTATGTATGTATGTATTTGAGAGAGAGAGTACGAGTGGGAGGGGCAGAGGGAGAAGGAGAGAGAATCTCAAGCAGACTCTGCAGTGAGCTGGAAATCCAACCCGAGGCTGGATCTCACAACCCTGAGACTGTGACCTGAGCTGAAACCAAGAGTTGGCTGCTTAGCTGACTACACCACTCAGGTGCCCCTGAAGCTCTTCATCTCTTCCAGTCATCTAGGACTCCTTCAACCTCTCCCACTCCCTCACACCCTGCCTGGACAGGGACTTGGCGTAAGAGAAGAGTCCAGGGTGGTGGATGCATGCATTGTTATCAAGGGAGAAGGGAGGTCGAGAACAGAAGAGTGAGTGGAGAGGAGGTGACCATGGGGAGTAGCTTGACCACTGCAAATGAGCCCACAGATGAGCCTGTTTGTAGGCTGTGCCTCAGTCCAGAGTCCCTGATATTCGTCCACATATGTTTAGTGATTATAGCTTCATTTCCTCGTTAGCCAGGTGTCCTAGTTTGCCACCCAAGAAAAATGGACTTTGTTTCTAAAACCCAGTGTCTTCATCAGCCCTTCTCCCAACCTCCTGCCTCATCGTTACATTTTCCATTGTCTGTGCAAACCCAGCCCTAGACTCCTGAAGTCAGCCTCTTAGAGCTGCCCCTGACTTAACGTCTGTGCTCTGTCTGTTACGCCAGACAGCTGTTAATGCCAGTGAGTGCTCCCTGTCTTTCTGGAGCATTACGTGGAAGAGGGAAGCAAGAAATTAGATTTAAACCTGGAGTCTGTTATTAGGAGTTTCAAGATCTTGAGAGCAGTACGGGCCTCAAGTTCAGGGTACAGCCATTTAGATTTAATAGATGGTGGATGGATGTGGATGACTTTCAAATGTAATAAGAAATCTATTTTTCAAAGGAATTTCATGTTATCCAATTAAGGTAGGTAGACAACAAAGTTCAAGGCAGAATTCTACTGAAGAAAAGTCTCTTGGCCAGGATTTGCTCTTCCTCCTCATCTGGACATAATTTCTTTTTCTGGAAAGTACTGTCATCATTATAAAGCATAAATTATTAAGGCGATGGTGCAAAGCATAGAAACCAAGACCGGCCTGGCGGTTGAAGTGGGGCCTGAGGGTGGAATCGTATGTGGGTGTGACCTGTGTGCTGGACTCCAGGATTGCTCATGCTGGCACTGTAGCTGGAGCTTCCCGGAGTGGGAGACATCCTCCTCTAAAGAGCTGGGGTGGTGTCCATAGCTTGGCCTGAGCTACAGATGTGAGGGCTGGTCTTAGCAGTGTCACTCATACCGACCCTATGACCTTGAATGGGCTGCTTTCCTTCCTTGAATGTGGATTTACTGAGCCAAGGAACATGACATCCTGCTTTAACATTTGGTAGCCTGTCCAATTTTTCTGAAATGTGCTATCTGTGCCACTCCATTGGCATTATAATTCACTGTCTGGGGTCACTAATCTTTCATGTTTTTATGTTGCACCATCTCAGTGAAGTCTCCAGCTTTCTTATGAGTTGGCAGTCAGAAGCTCTGTTTAAAATTTGTTGTCTGGGGACTGCTGGGTGGCTCAGCACTTGAGCATCTGCCTTTGGCTCAGGGCATGATCCTGGGGTCCTGGGATTGAGTCCTGCATTGGGCTCTTCACAGGGAGCCTGATTCTCCCACTGCCTATGTCTCTGCCTCTTTCATGAATAAATAAATAAAATGCTTTTTAAAAATAAAGTTAAATAAAAGTTGTTGTCTGACAGTTCTTCCATCTGACCTCACATGGGGCTCACTGGATACTCTGGGCTTCACCAGATAAAGCCACCAGCCAGCCTGGCCCACATGTGGCACTTCAGTTAGTGAGGAGACTGAACCAGGTATGGGGCACCTAGTACATAGTTAATAAATACCAATTAAGTAATACACAGGGGAAGAAATGTAGGGCAGCCCTGGTGGCGCAGCGGTTTAGCACTGCCTGCAGCCTGGGGTGTGATCCTGGAGACCTGGGATCGAGTCCCACATCGGGCTTCCTGCATGGAGCCTGCTTCTTCCTCTGCCTGTGTCTCTGCCTCTCTCTCTCTCTGAATAAATAAATAAATAGATCTTTAAAAAAAAAAGAAATGTAACACAAGCATGTAAAGAAGGCCTAGATCTACGGTTAAACCTTTGTGATAAGGAACTATTTGGAGGAGAGTCAGTATTGAATTGCTGTTTGCCAGGTAGCTGAGTGATGACAGCTTTAAGAATCTAAATGTTGGATCCCTGGGTGGCTCAGCGGTTTAACGCCTGCCTTCAGCCCAGGGCGTGATCCTGGAGTCCCAGGATCGAGTCCCAAATCAGGCTCTTTGCATGGAGCCTGCTTCTCCCTCAGCCTGTGTCTCTGTGTCTCATGAGTAAGTAAATAAAATCTTAAAAAAAAAAAAAAGAACTTAAATGTTTTTCAGTCTAATTATTTTGTATGTAAATCTTTTTTTAAAGATAACACTGATGGGGGCACCTGGGTGGCTTAGACAGTTGGGTGTCCACTCCTGATTTCAGCTCAGATCAGGTCATGATCTCTCAGCTCCAAAAGGAGTCTGCTTGAGATTCTCTTCCTCTCCCTCTGCCCCTCCCTGCACTTGTGCGCTCCTTGTTGTGATGCTGCTCCCACCTACTGGCAGGAACCCAGCTTGGATGGGGGTGAATGTCTACATAGCACACAACTGCCACAACCAGGGACAGCCTCTGATGTGTCTTCTCCAATTTCTTGATATTATGGAGGATGTCTTGATCTGACCCAGAGGAGGATTAATCATTTGGATCCTTCTTAATGTAACTGCCATGTCCTGCTTCTCCTAGATAGCTGGATATTTTGCAAGATCAGCTTTTGCCGGCTCTGCCTTGAGCTGTCTGATGTCATTGTCAGATATCACTGCAGACATGGTTCCTTCCATTTTTTTGAGTCCTAGTGATTAGGTTAACCAGAAGAAAAGACTCATTGGATTTTCTCAGTGTTTCTATTTTCCTTGGGAAAGGATGGGCTGGAAACTGTGGTCTTCAACCCATTTCTCCAGCTTTTGGCCATCAAAGGGGGAAAAGACTCAAACTGGAAGAACCCAGACTTCCAGTCTCAGATTCTCCTTCAAACCAGCTCCCAGAGAACAGGAGCTGTCTTCCCTGTCCTATAGAGCAACTTATTTACTGAATATTTGTCATGAGGGGCTGACCTCACAGCCCTGGAAGAAACCCAGAGACTGCAGGACGGTCTGCTCTTTCTCCCCTTAGGGATCAACTACTGTGCATTGAACAAACCAGGCTGTGAGCATGAATGCATCAACATAGAGGATGGCTACTACTGCCGCTGCCGCCAGGGCTACACCCTGGACCCCAATGGCAAGACTTGCAGCAGTGAGTGTGCTGGGCCCACGGGGATGGTTTGGATGGGAGGGTGTGGTTCACACAAAGGTCCCAGGGCTCACTTCTGAAACTGCTGGGTTTCCTGTGGGCCTGATGGCCTGACAGGCTTACTCTTCCTTATTTCAGTTTCATCATCCATAAAGTGGGACTATCCAAGCTACCTAACTCAAAGATTGGGTTGGGAGGATTAAAAAGAATCAATAAAGCACTTAAAAAATACAGGTAAATATTAATAAGCACTCAGTAAATATTAGCTAATGTTGTTCTTTGCTGTCAAGAGCACTGATTAAGGCAGACCTGCTGGAATCTAAAATCCAAGCATCACCACCTACTAGACATGTGGCCCTGATCGAGGTACTTAACTTTGCCAAGCTTGGATTTTTCCCAGCTGTTTAAAAAAGTGGCAATAATAGCAGTATTGATGTGCTAGAGTTTTTAAGGGGAATGAGCAGGACCATTACAGTCTCTTAGCCTGGGCCTGGCACAAGGAAAACACAATGAAAGATAATCATTCATTATGACCACGGAGCCTGGGAGAGTGACCAGCGGCTGCAGGCTGGAACAAGAGGCCAAAGGAGACAGACCTCAGAAAGTATGTGCGCTGCCATAGAGCTCTGTCTGGGGGCAGAGCTGGGAAATATGGGACTTTTTGTGAAGCCTTTCTTAATTTTCTTGTGTAAGAGGCACAACAAATCTCCATTTGGTGATGTAAATGTACAGAAACCCGCAGGCTTTGCCAGCTGGATGGCTCTGTCATGTTTTATGAGGCACAGTCTCCACTGGTCCAGGCCAGTGGGGGTGGGAGCACATGAGCACTGTGGTGACCCCAGTCTGCTGTGATAGGGGCTCTGTGACATGACCAGCAGAAAAGGGGCCCTTTGTGCGGCTTCCCACCCGGCAGGCCACACATCTGCTCCAGCTTTGGAGACAGAGATAGATTGTGAATGAGAACAGTGCAGCTGTTGAGCATTTGGACCTCAAACTGCCAGAAGGGGAAGTTTCACAGATGTAGTATTAGGTACAGAGCAGTCCTCAGGAAGACTTGTGCCCCTTCGGTCTTTAGAGGGAGCAAAGTGTGTCAGTTAGGCTTTCTAAGGACTGATCTCGGTGTTCAAAGAGCTTTTGAACCAGACAGTGTGGCTATGTACTTGCGTGTGGAAGTTTCTGAGGCCTAAGAGAAACCAATGGGGAGCAGAAGGTGTTCCATTCAACAAGGAGACATAAAGATGGATCCGGGTACACACATTCTGCCAGCTGACAGCCTTGGCAAGTGTCCCAGGACCGGCTGGGCATAACCTGATAGAGCCACCTAGAGCCCTAGGGGCCCTGGCCTGCTCCTCTCTACCTGCATGCCTTGGGGGAGCCTAGAAGGACTCAGAGAGGGGCAAGAAGAGATTGGGCCATAGTGTCTCTCTGGGATCAAATAAGAAAGTGAAACCCCTGGGTGGCTCAGTGGTTGGGCATCTGCCCTCAGCTCAGGTCATGATCCCGGGGTCCAGGGGTGGAGTCCCACATCCGGCTCCCTGCAGGAAGCCTGCTTCTCCCTCAGCCTGTGTCTCTGCCTCTCTCTGTGTGTCTCGTGCATAAATAAGTAAAAATCTTAAGAAGAAAGAAAGAAAAAGACCACTTAGCTTCCAGAAAGTATAAACCAAGCCATTTCTTCCTAGGAGCTCCCAGAGAAGGCCGTGGTGTCCTGTTCTCCTCAAGTACTCAGGGAGACCCAGGCCATAATGACAGCAGACCTTTATGAGGTGCACATTCTGTGAGGCTGTGGTAAGCACTTGCCAGGCACTCACTCACTGTATCCTCACAGTAGCCTTATGAGGCATCTACAGTCTTATCCCCATTTAAAGACAGGGAAACTGTGGCACAAAAAGATTAAGTAACTTTCCTGGCATCACATGACTGGTTAATGATGTAACCAAGATGTGAATATGAGCTTCTGACTCCTGAGATCCTGCAAGAGTAGGCACATCCACCAGTGGAATGTTCCAGAAGGCACCAGCTCCAGGCCCTTTGGGAGAGAAGCCTGCTTAATGGCCCAGCACAAGGCCTTCAATGTCTCTCCAGTCCCTGGGTGTGCATTTTATCCATCAAGGAAATCTGGGAGGCAGCATGGAGGGCTGTCTGTGGGAGCCATTCACCACAGCTGTGTATTCACTGTCCACCAGTGCTCACTGCCCAGGGGAGCCAGCTGTGCCACGCTTGGGTGCCAGAATTGGCCACACATGCAGGCTGTGGCTTTGGTTTGTTTTCTGAATCTGGGTGTCCTGAGTATGGGGGGGTGAAAACACTTTTTCTGTGTCATTTTCAGAGAAAAATGAAACTAGACAATGAATTCTTTCCCAGGGATACTTAATAAGCATCCACTCAGCGATCACTGCGCCAGCTACAGGTTTGAGGGCCTTCCGGTATCAACTTCTCTCCTCCTCACCACATTCCTCTAAGAAAGCAACCATCAGTCCCCATTTCTCAGGTCAGGAAAGGATGGCCCAGAGGCCAAGGGAATGCCTGGCATTTCCTAGCTAGGAAGCAGTACAGGCGGGATTTGAGCCTAACTGTGTTGATGCCACAACCCTCATCATTCTTAAGTACCACTCCCCAGCTGTGTGGCTTTGGGCAAGCCACTGGACCTTCCTGAGCCCCATTTTCCTCCCTGAAATGGGCTCACACCTGCCTTGAGGGTTATAGATTAGGGTGCCACGGCTCTGGCATAAAGTGCTGCTGTCACTAACACCAACAAAGAACTTGTAGGCGCCTTACTCTTCAGACACAGAAATGGGAAGAAGGGGTGCCTGGGTGGCTCAGCAGTTGAGCATCTGCTTTTGGCTCAGATCATGATCCCAGGATCCTGGGATCAAGTCCAATCCTGCACTGGGCTCTCCGCTCAGTGGGCGGCCTGCTCCTCCCTCTCCCTCTGCTCCTTCCGGTCTACTCATGCTTTCTCTCTCAAACAAATAAAATCTTTTAAAAAAATTTGTTTTAAATAAGAAAATAACTGTGAAGAAGAACAAACAAACAAGGCTGATTTCCCAGAGGCCAGCCACCAGGGGTAGGACCAAACCTTCCAGCCCTGCTCTTCCTGATGCTCATGAATAAAGGGCTCCTATGGGATCCACCTCGGGCCCCCGGGGGGGGGGGTATTTCTTTCTAATGCCCCACTGCCTGTGAGGCTTGACCGGTTTCTCTGTGCTTTCCTGTGTGGCAAACGTAGGGGTGGATCACTGCGCGGAGCAGGACCATGGCTGTGAGCAGCTGTGCCTGAACACTGAGGATTCTTACGTCTGCCAGTGCTCAGAAGGCTTCCTCATCAACGACGACCTCAAGACCTGCTCCAGTAAGCCCCCTTCCCTGCCTTTCCTGTCGGGGAGGTCTGCCACAGGGGGAAACATGAGCACTGCCTTGGGGGAAGCAGGGGTGGCTCATGGTCCTCTCACCCCTCTGACTTTTCTGTGCCTCCCAGTTGGGGGGAGTTGTGGGAGTGTCCTCCGGGGACTGCATGCTCTGGAGGGGTGGGGAGCAGGCTGAGTGACTTTGTGGGGGCAAGGGGTGTAGATAGACCAGACTGTGTCTACCTACTGGATTCCCAGCGGCAGCACCCGGGAGGCTTACTGACCAAGTCTCCTGGCTGCCTGGTTTCGCAGGGGCGGATTATTGCTTGCTGAGCAACCATGGTTGCGAATACTCCTGCGTCAACACTGACCGATCCTTTGTTTGTCGGTGTCCTGAGGGATACGTGCTCCGCAGTGACGGGAAGACCTGTGCCAGTGAGTGTTCCGGGTGCAGCGACAAGCAGGACTCGACAGGGGCCGTGTGCGGGTGGAGGATGCCCGCAGGCGGGGTTCCCTGGGCCTGTGTGAGTGCGCATCAAGGAGGCCTCTTTGATACCCACTCTTGAGCCCCGGTGCCCTTCCCCTGCCCCGCAGCTTCCTTCCTCTACTCCCCCGGACAGCGTTTTCCTTTTTCTGTAGTGTGCCTTGGGCTCATGTGGAAGCTGGACAGAGCCTTATTTCTTGCCTTTCTCTTCCCTACCCCTACCCTGGCGGAACGGGGTAGCCAGCCTGCGATGCCCAATAACACAATGCAGACCAGTTTGTGGGTGCTGACTTCTTGCCAGTACTGTGCCAAGTGCATGCAACCTCGAGTTCTAGCAGTACTCTGGGCTCCCCAATTTGTGGTGAAACTGCAGTTCAGATTAAGTAAGGAGCCTGAGGTCACCCTTGTTAAAGGGATGGGTTCAAGCTCTGGTCTATGGGAGTCCAAAGTCAGTCTTGGGAAAGGAGGAGGCTTCTGAGAAGCCTTCCATCCCCCTCCCCTCTTTGCCTCATGATCTGGCCGCAGATGGAGAGGTTGGCAGTGATGCTCCCTGGGTATGTATATCCTTGCAGCTGGCCCCAACTCCTGGGTCCATTCATTAAAAACAAAACCAAAAAAAAAAAAAAAAGGCCCCTCTAGCTCCCTTTCTCCTCAAGAATGTTGTGTTTCTGCTCTGCAATCTCAGTGGACTAAAGTAAATACTTTAAAAATAGTCGTTTTGACAGAAGGAGTCAGAAATGGAGGGAAAAGACTATAATTTTCCTTCTTCATCCTGCTGGTCTTTCTGGTTCTGAGGCTAACCGCCCTGACTACTGATAAAATCGTGGCCACAACCTAAATTATCCACCTTTGAATGCTATCCATGGACACCGGGTGAGCTGATGCACAGCTGGGTGGGCCCCTCTTTGCAGACCATAATGTCTACAAATGGACAAGAATGTCTTCCTTGTCCCAGATGGATTCCAGAGGCTTGGCAAATGGCTTCTCCACCTCTGGCCGCTCCCGGCCACCCACCGCCCCTGCCCATGCCCCTGCCCTTGCCCCTGCTCCTGCCCTTGTCCCTGCCCCTCCCCCTGCTGGGCACACCCCCGGAGGATGACCGCACTGGGCCTAGGACAAGGCCGGGCGCCTGGAGTTGCATCTACATGTGACTGATGCCAGAGCCAGACGTGTGGCTTTTTATTAGTTTGCTTTAATTTTCCATCATCTTAGATATTCATGACCTTCTTTTGTCCTCCCCCCTTACTGCAATCCTCAAGAGCAGACTATAAGCCGGCTGCGGGACTTCCAAGAAATTCTCACAGCCTTTCCCAACAAACGCTCTTCCTTTTCCTTACCATCACACGGCCCTCAGGTCCATATGAGTCATGCCACTGATGCTTTTTAATGTTGCACATCTCCCCGTTTAAAGTGCAATGCCATCAGAAGTGAATTTTGATGTGTACATATTTATATATGGCTGTGACTATATGAAAACTTCTGAGATGATCACATAGGATAAGTATAACCTATCCTCTGGGAATTGTATCACCTAAGAGACTGATTTTACCCGCTGGCTAATAATACATAGGCGTTGAATTGTTCCCCAAATTAAAGGCTGTCTGTCTGCCCTGGGGTGATTCAGTCTCTCTGCTCTGTCCAGTAATAATGGGCTTTGTTTTCCGTGTGGCCATGGCTAACTGGGGGCTATGTTTCCCAGCTCTATGCCAGATGACAAAGAGCCGGACAACATGACTCCAACCTTTTGGAAAAGCCGGCTGGGCAGTAGCGGGGTGAGAGCCCCTGCTAGGGGCCAGCCAAGCCAGCTCAGTTTGTAAGAGTATCTTTCATCCTTCAGAAAGGCAGCCTCCCTTTAGAGCCTTGGTAGTAGATACTGTGAATAATACTTCAGTCACTTTCCAGAAGGTTCTCTGAAGCATAGAGAGCAGACCAGGTTCCTAGTGCCCTGGAACTAAGTGAGCATTGTTACCTCCACACACCTGCAGGCACCCTGGGCTCTCCAGCCTCTGGGGTGAAGCCCATCCTCCCTTCTTGTCATTGGCCGGGAAGCTGTGATCGTAGATTCCTCCTTGAAGCCTTCCATGCATTGGGCGGTTGATGCACGGACTAGGGGCTGAGGTAGGGAGTGGCAGGGGGTAGTCTCTTCCATGAGCTGAAGCTGAGAGGCCTCCTCCCCTCTCTAGCTCCTGGTGATTTCCCTGAGGTAGACCTTTTGCAATGGTGTCCCAACATCAGTAAAGACCCCACAGGCTGGATGTGCATGGAGTGCACCGCCCACTGGTCTGCCAGCTCCTATGGAGGCTGCGTCTTGTTTGGAGCCTGAGTTCCCCCAGGCCTGGCCCATAGGAGATGCTCACCAAAGTTCATTGAGTGAGACAGTGAATGGTCAGAGACCACATGTCTTTTTATCCTACGGCGCCTGGCACGGGCTGCATTGCCTGCTCATCAACCTTTGGTGGCTCTCCCCTATCTCCCAAAATAAATGTCCTGTTGCATTTCTCAATTTGGCAATGTCAGAGGACCCCTTCCTCCACCTTTTGAGCCCCACCCCACGTGTTCCAGATCGTCAAGAGGGTGAGACCTGTGGTTCTTTGAGCAGCCACTGTACCTGCAGCCTGTCCTTTCTCCACTTAGCACAGCCTTCCCTTCTCAGCCTTGCTCCTGCAAACCCAGCCTGTAGACAACATTCCCCACAGAGAACTTCCTGCTGCCAGCCCACTGGGAGCCCCTCTCCTGCCCTCTCACCCTGTAGTTGGTACTCTTTGCACAGATCTGAGAAATAATGTGGCAGAGTGGGAAAAATACTGAACTAAGAACCCAAACACTGGGTTAAATCTTGTTTCCACCTTGGGTAAGAGAATTGACTCTTTCTGGATCTGATTGCTTAACTGCCAACTTGGAATGATTATTTCTGCCTCTCTCTCAGGGTTGCCAAGTGGCACAGGGAAAGACAAAAGTTGAAGTGCTTTGGGAACTTGTAAATTGCCATTGACCCCAAAGGTACTCTTGCTGGGGTCTTACCTCCCCCCGTGAGACTGCCCTGGATTGAGGAGAAGGCTGGGGTAGCAGCTTGTCTTGCCGCCTGAAGACCTACCTCCGAGGGCTGGGCCTGTTTCTGTTGGAGGAGCCCTAGAGATGGGCCACCCTGGGAGAGGTCAGACTCATGAGCCCCAAAGGCTGCTGTCAGACTCTGGCAAGGGGAAGGTGCTGACAGGGATCTGGGCCACAAGCCACAGAGCCCTGGAAATCCTAGTCCAGCCACCACAGGCGAGTCTGTGGAGGCCTGTTGGCACCCCCTCTCCCCTAGCTTGACTTTGAAAGGCAGAAAGCAGCCCTGAGCAAGGCAAATGGAGTGTTGTAATCTACTCAGGCTGCTATAACGAAATACCATGGGTTGGGTGGCTTAAACAACAGCAGTTTATTTTCTTATAGTTGGAGAAGCTGGAAGTCCAAGATCAAGGTGCCAGCATGGTCATGTCCTGAGGAGAACCCTCTTCTTGGCTTGCAGATGGCTGCCTTCTTGCTGTGCCTTCACATGGCAGTTGGGGGGTGGGGGGGGGGTGAGGCTGTGGTAAGAATAAGCTCCAAGGACACAAATCCCATCATGGGGTCCCTACCTCATCTAAACTTAATGACCTCCCAAGGACCCCACCTCCAAATACCACACTGAGAGGTAGGGCTCCCAAGTATGAATCTTGTAGGGAGAGGAGGCCATAATTCAGTCCATAGCAGGGAGTGAGGGGAGAAGACCACCTTCACCCTCTGTATATTCACATTATAGGAACAGAAGGAAGCCTCGAGATCTTTCATCTCTTTTGTGGAAAACAAGCACAAGAAGGAAACTGGTGTCTCCAGGCTGGCCCTGAGGGTCAGGGGCAGAGGCAGGACCAGAACCCAGTCCCCTGATTCAGGACCTCTTGCCCAGAGTGAGATACCCTCTAAAAGCATGTCTCAGCTTAGATAGGTTTTGGTTTGTCTGAGCAAAAACCATTAGAGAGTTAGCAACTGATTGGCTGTTTCTAGTTTTATTATAAGAAACACCCAAAAATGGTTAATCCTCTCCATCGGCCCTCATTCCCCTCTTGGCAGACTACCGCAGCTTTTCCCTCTGGGGTTGATTTGGTTTTAACATCCTCCTATGTGGAGCCACAAACACAGGATGCCCATCTGCCATCACCACAGAGGTGCAAGTCCATGGAACACATGATCCTGCAACGGCTGTGCCACGGGTGGATGTGACTCACTGGATGTAGAATCCAGATGTGAGGGCACTGTCCCCACCAGCATGTGAGGCTGCCCACTGAGAGGCCTAAAAACCTGTGCTGTGTCCTGAAACCTGTAATCACCCTGATCACATGTTGTAGGTCCTGTTCATGACGGGGCTTTACTGAGGTGCGTGGACCTGCCTCCCTAAGGATGGAAGGAAGAGGATTCTTCTCTTAGAGGGAACATGTTTTCTTGCCATGTCCTGAGATTTTCATACATCCTCTCATCCATTTCACTTAAGTGGTGGTTACCAGTAGTTTGTCCTCACTCTCATCTCTGGATTTGAGTCTGGGGACTACCTTGAGCTCTTGGTCCATTTGTTTTTATTCTTCGCAGGTATTTAGCCTGCACCTGTAGTGCACTGGGCACTGGGTCTCCCTGAGGCTGATGCCAGTTCAGTTTCTGCCCTGAAAGATTTCAAAGTTTCTCAGGGAAGAAAGCTATTAAAAAACTTTCATGTGATCTGGGGAGAAGAGGTGCCACAGGAGACGTGAATAAAGACGTGAGGGGGACCCTCAGACAGTCTAGAGAGTTTCCGGGGAATGAGATAGTTGATCTGACATCTGGAGATTAAAGCATGAGCTAGCCAGAGATGGAGGGAATTATGGTCTGAATGTTTGTCTCCTCCCAAATTCATAGGTTGAAATCCTGACTTCCAAAGATGACATTAGAAGGTGGGGCTCTG